GTTTCTAGTGTCTGCTCTGAATATTCTCCAGGGATATATAGGGGAAAATATATATATATGATAAGGCAAAACAAATTCTTTTTCTTTGTAGCCACGATGGTGATGATAAGAAAAGGCCAGTGATTGTTCATCGAGCCATCTTGGGGTCAGTGGAAAGAATGATTGCTATCCTCACGGAAAACTATGGGGGCAAATGGTAATTTTTGTCTTTTTTTTTTTTTTTTCTGATTAGTATAAATTGGCTACAAGAAATGTCTACTTTTTGATTTAATTATCAGATGGAAAGGGAGAATGATTGCAGTCAGTTGCTTCTAACTAATGACAAGTGTTCACTAAAAAATAAGGAATCATAATCTAAACGCAAACTTTTTATGCTAGTAGTAATTAATTCCAGAACTTGGTTTGTTTGAATGTTGTGTAATACTTTCTAATTACGAATTAGTATTCTGTTAAGAAGTATACTTATTGTTTTGGATGCTTTTCTGGTAACTTTGTTTTGGGGTTTAGATGGCTTTGCTGGGTTTTACGTAGATAAATGAGGAAGCTTATGGCTTTTTTCGTTCAGCCTTGCTAATCATAACAAGCAAGTATTTTGACATCTTTTAAAAGCCAAGCGTTTTTTAAAACAGATGCCAAACTAATCAACATTTTGTGATTCGTTTCTATGAGGTTACGTTTTTGTTGGCAAGATACATGGCCACATAACTTTCATCTTACTTCTTAAGCAGTTTTTTTCTGGACCCACAATGCATTTGAAAGCAGCACAGGGTTATAAAAGCACCCATGTGTAGAGCCTTCCATATTAATCTCATTGATTTAACACATTTGTAGAATGATGTACATTGGTTTAATCTTACATTACTGTCATTTCAGTTTTATTTGAACTTGGTTACTTCAGAAATTAGAACAGTTTTTCATACTGGTCAATGATATAATCTCTTTAGATTTTTCAAAGTCAGATAAAATGTGAGACACATGCTCTATAAGGTACTTCAAGAATTAAGGGAGTCCTCAGCTAATTGTTCTGCTAAACTTGTTGTAGGTGGGGAAAAGTCCATGATTAGGGTAGAATTTAGTGCCTACTTTAGCCTTTTGCCTGATGTTTGCCTGATATAACAGAACAACTGAAAATAGAGGAATGATGGAGAGAAACATTAGCCTGATGTTTGCAGCATCAGAAGCATTTGACACTTGAATTGCTTCAAAGGGAGAATTGGATGGGCTTATTTTTTAATAAGTAGTGAAAACTCTCATTTTTACCAAGTGCCATAACCAGTTATTATCAGTTACAATTTGCTGAGTGGTGCAAAATGGATTTTGAATAAACTGAGGACACTGTGTCCCCATGAAGAATAAGTAATAAAATACTCGAACAATTAATCACTACATGCAGTTATTAAATAATTTGTTACCCCCTCTCACAGTGTTTTGTGATGTATTAAAGTGTGAGGCATAGTCCTATCCTCAACTGGTTTTGCTATCTGCTTAGCAAGACAAATCGTAGTTACAGACTTTCCTTATGTAGGGTTAGTTTTCTTCTCCTGCATCTCCTCGCCTTAATCTTTATTGGATAGGATTTTTCATTTTGGGGTTTTTTAAGCCAAGTTTTAAAAGTAGTCCTTACATGTTCCAGGAAAAGATACTGAAGAGTAGACTAAGAAATATGCTGTCCCTGTTTAGTGAATGTGCCCACATCTACACTGAGTATTTTTATTCTCTTTCAAAGGCCCTTTTGGCTGTCCCCTCGCCAGGTAATGGTAGTTCCAGTGGGACCAACCTGTGATGAATATGCCCAAAAGGTAAGCCTTAGATGTGAATTTTCTTTCAACTTAATATCTGTTAAGCTTTTCAGATCACATAAGCCCTATATTCTTGGTGAATCGAGCTGTTGTGATGTAGAGAAATGTTACTATTTTTAATCTTTGTTAAGCCTGAATAGATTATATTTCTTCTGTAATGCTTTTCTACATGATTCCATAATCAGAAGACATATTTGGATAGTGTTTTAGGTACACTTGTATATTTTATTGTATTCGTTTTAAGAGATGGGATCTTCCTCTTGCCCCAGCTGGAGTGCAGTGGTACAATGCCTGGCTCACTGTAACCTCAAACTCCTGGGCTCATGCAGTCCTCGCACCTCGGCCTCCCAAGTAGCAGTGACTACAGGCAGGAGCCGCCATACCCAGTTACGCTTGTATATTTTAGTATTTAGTATTTTAAAAAACCAAATTAGCAAATATCAGGTACTTCAGTATGATAGGTAAATTCCAGTTCAAAATACAGTTGAAGCTGCTCTTTGACTCAAAGAGTAATTTTGCTTCATTTTAATGTAAATTTCTTCAGCTATTTGAAACTTTTTTCGAGGTTAGTAGCATAGCAGACCAGTGTCTTGCCCCTACCCCCAAAAAATGTAACCAACAAATGTATAACCATTCATAACTTCACTTTAAAGCATATAACAATCTGTTCTGCCGTAGTGAAAATTCCATACTAAGGAATTTCAAATTATTAAAAGTTGATCAGTGAACAATACTATAACATCAAAGCCATCCTGTCTCCATACCATCAGAATAAACCACACTCAGGTCTTAATTACCCTTAAGAAATAAATGAACTTGAGCGTGGAGATGCATACCTGTAGTCCCAGCTACTTGGGGGCTTGAGGCAGGAGGATCTTTGAGGGTTCAGGGTGTGATGATTGTGCTTGTAAGTAGCCACTGCATTCCAGCCTGAGCAACATAGTGAGACCCCATCTCTTAAAAAAAAAAAAAAAAATGAAGTGAACACTAAACCGTCTAGTAGATAAACCATTCAGACTATTCCTATTACTATTACTGCACACAGTAGTTTTAGTTACAAATGATGAGAATCAAAGTTAATGTTCTATGGTTGAGTGCACTTTGTCTTATTTGTATGTGAAAGCTCACACAGTAGGAAAAAGTTCTGTGTTGGTTAACTGAGTTCTCAACTGGAGACATCACTGACTTCCCCACTTCCCTTTGGGGGTAGGGTGATATTCCAGATTACGTGGTGGTAAGTTTTTCGTTTGTGGGGAGAGAAGACAGGGCAGTACTCCCGATACCTAATAACTGTAGAGTAGACATGTTAAACACCCTGTAATTATCAGGCCACTTCCCCAACTGCAGAATTGCCCATCTCACAGGCACACACAGGACCCATGTTGAGAAAAATGAAAAAAACTGATGCTTTATTCTTTAAAGTAGTTATCAGTTGAAGATGTAGACCTATCTTGGCATTCTAAAATTCTGTAACGACCCTTCTGAAATGGGTGTTACAAAATTTCAACAGGTTAATTGGTTTGTGATTACTATGGCTTAAAAATCTACTAGTTAATATGCTAAAGCTTGTGCACAGTATAGGCAAAGTCACCTAGATTGTTTCAAAAAGTATACCTTATAGAAATAAACATTTGACATACATAAATAACCCTTGGTTTACACATAACTCGCATTTGAGAAATGAATGTTTTGTAGATCATTTAGAATCCTTTTCAATCAAAAATTGAAAGAAATATTTTGTCACCTAGGTCAACCGGAGAATGCTGGTTTTACTGGTGATTCTTGAGTATGGTAGTTACTGTTTCACCTTCAGCTGTACTTAAGATGTTTTCCTGGAAAAATTCATTCTGCTTTCTGACCAGGATTTCCAGAAACTCTGACCCTTCTTCTAAGTGGGCTGGGTGGAATTGTGGTGATTCTGCTAGTCGACAGTATAACTTCTGTGTCTACAAAAAGATGATAGACAGTCACTGCTCACATTGGCTTTTTGTGAAAGCCCAAGGATACTGTCCCTATGGCAGAGATGAGGAAGGAACACCAGCTTCCTCCAACTCTTCTGTTCCTCCTTTGGGTTAATGGCCACTGTAAGGAAACAGTTTTCTGCCAGGTGTGGGGTGATTTGAATGTAAAATGCCCAACTCTTATAGCAGGTTGAACAGAAACATTTTTTTTTTTTTTTGAGACGGAGTTTCACTCTTGTTGCCCAGGCTGGAGTGCAATGGCGCGATCTC